ACTTGCAAAGAGGGAAGGCGATTAACTCTAACACTAGCAGAACAGCCAAACTCCTTCTTTAGCATGCTACGGCAGCCTATTTTGAAAGGCTAACGTTAATATCAACAAAGTTAGTAACTCAGCTCAACGCCAGCTGCGTTTGACAGAAAACACTTTTTTTCTTAATTTCAGCAGTATTTGGGATGTTGACGTTACTTACAACTTTTGCTTCTTCTTCCTTTTAGTTGAGCTAGGTCGCTAGCTTGCAGGCGTTCTTTTCATTTGCCGAGCGAGCTTGAACGTCCTGGCCCTCCTCCATTGGAAGGATTTGCGTAGTGGTGTGATTTTTTTTCTCTTTTTTTTCGCAGTCTCTTTGTGAGTCGGTAGAGGTCTTCTGTCAGAGCCAACGGCAAGCCTTTTGGCTCCTCCTTTTTGATTATAATTGGATGTAAAAAAATACGCCTACATGTAGCACAGTTTTCTGATTGGATAAATTACTTTCCAACTTTAAGCTGATTACTTGTTGATTGGATGACGTCTTTCGGAGGACGGCATTGGCAGAGTTATACATTTGTTTTAATTTTCGGAGTACACCGATATGTGCTGTGATGGGCGGAGAGCTCAAACAAACTTCAATTAACATGGCTTTGAATGAGACGTAAAAATGCTGACAAGTGACTTAAGTTTTTGTCTGTTGAATTTACATCTAGCGAGGGGACTAATAGCTACACTTATTAAATTTGTTAATAAGTGTGCAAATTTCCTTTTTTTCCCCAAGCGTTTCTGGTAGTAAAATTGTGATTTAATGGATATCTATAAATCTGAGCACAAGTTACATACATTTTACATGTTTTGTAATTGTAATTAAATTAATATAAACCTTAAAAATACAAGTTGAGATTTGTGGTTGCAATGTTACAACATCTAAACAAGTTCATAAATACTTCAGTAATACTGTAATAGCAGCATAATAACAATAAACATTCACTTTTAATGGAAATAAATATTACACCTTCTCAATCTATTTCTAGTCATTAACAGAAACCTGAAAAGAGTCACATTTATCTTTGATGGATCTCTGTTTTAAAATTATCAAGTTATAAAGTCTTTAAAAATATATGCCGGCATAATTTAAACACAATACTTTTTTCATTTAACTAAATACATTCAAGTAACCACATGCAAACCCATTTGCCTTCTAATCTGGCTGGAATACAGTCATGTTTATGTGAGCTGGAAAAATGTGATGTTTTTGTTACATCATTTATGAAGCACAATTTTTGATATTTAACAGTTGCCACTGTGTGACTGCTGTCAAGTATTAACCACAACTCAGAAACAGAGAGAATGACCTAAACATTTTTAGAATCTTGAATAAGAGATATATATATATATATATATATATATATATA